TGCCGTCAAGCAGTGCTTCCAGGTTTTTCATGGTAGTCTAGTTTCAACTGACTCATGATCTCAACTATGAAAATATTGAAATATCCACAAAACCCCTTCTGATCTACAATGTATTTATGTTCTTAGTTCTCGCATTTATTGGATAGATTATGTTCACTCTTAATACTCGAAAGTGAAATGGAACTTCTTGATTATGTTCGTAGTGGAAGTGCACCTTTAAGTAGATACTTTGGTTATTCATTTCATTTATTAATTCAATGATTACTACCTTTTTTCCACAATGTTATTCTAATTTATATGGAGAGTATTTTCTTTTTACTGGGTCCCCTGTTGTGTATCAAAATGTTTTGTGTCATAGATAAAATTACTAATTAAATCAGAGGGAAATCATACAATATGCTTAAGATTTTTTTCGATTTTTAATGAAGTACTTACTTACTTACTTACGTCTGTTACTCCCAATGGAGCATAGGCCGCCGACCAGCTTTCTCCAACACACTCTGTCCTGGGCTTCCTTTTCTAGTTCTACCCAGTTCTTGTTCATTATTCTCATGTCTGTCTCAATTTCTCGGCGTAATGTGTTCTTTGGTCTCCCTCTTCTCCTTTCACCTTCAGGATTCCATGTGAGGGCTTGTCTTGTGACGCAATCAGGTGATTTCCTCAAGGTGTTTATTTAATTATTTGAACACATAAAAATTGGTACAATGAAGCACCAGATAAATATGCGTCTCACAAATCTCATTCGATTTGTGTGAGGGCTGTGATACTGCCCAGGTGCCCAGACTGAAGCAGGTGGTTTTCTTAGGGGGCCACACCCGGAGCCTTTGGCCTGAATGTCTGATCCACAAGGCAGTGGAACATCGTGAGGAGATGCAGTCCCATGGTAGCCGTTGACCAATGACAGGTTCTTCCGCCATTCGTTCCATCAGGATACTGGAGCCCATGTGCACCATTGGTTTTGAATCAGGGTTTTCCAACTCCCCTAGGTGGACTCGCCTTGTCCACCAACCCGGTTAAAGCACCGGACATTCGCTTTTCGTCCTCTCACTTTCGTAAACAACACCCGAGATGCGAGAAGGCAGTGAGTAGGACTTCCCTGGCAGAGGCTATATATTCGCTGACCATATGAGAGTATTTCGAGAGGGAGAGGTGACTCTCCCCACTCTCGGCCGTACCAGGGCATTTGGGGTGTGCCCAATCCACTTCCAGCGCTTCTTCCTGATTTCTTCCTCTGCTGGAATCTGGTTTGTTCTCTCCCACAGTAACTTGTTGCTGATAGTGTCTGGCCATCGGATCCGAAGTATCTTGCGTAGACAGCTGTTAATAAACACTTGTATCTTCTGGATAATGGCTTTCGTAGTTCTCCACGTCTCCGCCCCATACAGTAGGACTGTCTTGACATTTGTATTGAAAATTCTAACTTTGGTGTTGGTTGACAATTGTTTTGAGCTCCAGATGTTTTTCAGTTGTAAATATGCTGCTCTTGCTTTGCCGATCCTCGCCCTCACATCTTCATCTGATCCACCATGTTCATCAATGATGCTGCCCAGATATGTAAAGGTTTCCACATCCTCCAAAGTTTCTCCGTCAAGTGTAATTTGATTGGTGCATATTGTATTGTATCGGAGAGTCTTGCTTTTCCATTTCTTTATATTGGGATCTACTGCTGCTGAGGCTGCTGCTACACTGATCGTTTTCTCCTGCATTTGTTGCGTTTGTAATAGAAGGGCCATATCATTCGCGAAGTCTAGATCGTCAAGCTGCATCCTGCCTGTCCACTGTATCCCGTGCTTTCCTCCAGTCGTTGACGTCTTCATGATCCAGTCGATCACCAGGAGAAAGGGAAACGGTGAGAGTAAGCAACCTTGCCTAACATCTGTCTTTACCTCGAATGAGTCGGTGAGTTGTCCCCCGTGGACGATTTGGTCAGTTTAGTCCATCATAGGAGTTCCGTATGATATTGACTATCTTCTCAGGCACGCCGTAGTGTCGAAGAAGCCTCCATAGTGTTGTCCTGTCCACGCTATCAAATGCCTTCTCATAGTCGATGAAGTTGATGTAGAGTGATGAATTCCATTCGATTGATTGTTCCACAATGATACGTAGAGTTGCGATTTGATCTGTGCACGATCTATCCTTACGAAATCCACCCTGTTGATCTCGAAGTTGGGCGTCTACGGAATCCTTCATCCTGTTTAACAATACCCTGTTGAAGACTTTCCCTGGTATTGAGAGAAGAGTGATGCCCCTGTAGTTATCGCACTTGCTAAGATCACCTTTCTTTGGTATTTTGTTCAGAAGTCCTTTTTTCCAGTCTGTTGGTACTTGTTCTTCGTCCCAAATTTTACTGAAGAGGATGTGTAGTATCTTGGCAGTTGCTGCTACATTTGATTTCAGTGCTTCTGCCGGGATGTTGTCTGGTCCCGCTGCTTTGCCACTCTTGACTTGTCTGATGGCCATGCTGATCTCTTTAATTGTTGATGGGCCAATATCGATTGGGAGGTCCGTGGGTGCTGCTTCGATGTTGGGTGGGTTCAGTGGAGCTGGTCGATTCAAGAGTTCTTTGAAGTGTTCTACCCACCTGTTTCGTTGTTCTTCAATGTCGGTGATTACTTTGCCTTCCTTGCTTTTCACTGGTCTTTCTGGTTTACGGTAATTTCCAGCAAGTTTCTTTGTTGTATCATACAGTTGTCTCATGTTTCCCTCTTTTGCAGCCTTTTCCGCTGTCATCGCTAAATCTTCCACATATTTACGTTTGTTGGTTCTGATGCTCCTCTTCACTTGCTTGTTTGCCTCTGTGTATTCGGCTTGTGCCTTGGCTTTTTCCGCTCTGGTTCGGCTGGTGTTGATTGCTACCTTCTTGTTCCTCCTTGCTTCAATCTTATCCATTGTACCAACAGTGATCCATTCCTTGTGATGGTGCTTCTTTTGGCCCAGAACCTCTTGACATGTTGAAACGATTGCCTCCTTGATACCTTTCCAGTTGTTCTCCATGGTAGTCCCCTCTCCATTGAGTAGATCATAAAAGGCCTGGAACCTGTTGCTGAGGGCTATGTTGAATTTGTTGAGTTTGTCAGCATCTCGAAGAAAGGCCGTATTAAACTTTTGTGATGTTATCCGCGCATTTGTCCACTGCTTCTTGAGTTTTAGTTTCATCTTGGCGACCAGCAAATGATGATCGGATGCTATATCAGCTCCTCTTCTGGTTCTCACATCCTCCATCGTCCTCCTGAACGTTTTGTTGATGCAGATATGGTCGATTTGATTCTGTGTAATGTGGTCCGGTGAAATTCAAGTGGCTTTGTGTATGTTTTTGTGTGGGAATATGGTGCCACCTATAACCAGTTTATTGAAGGCACATAGGTTTGCAAATCTCTCACCATTTTCGTTCCTTTCTCCCAGTCCATATTGTCCCATGACGTCTTCGTATCCAGTGTTGTCCATTCCAACCTTAGCATTGAGATCTCCCATCAGAATTATCAGGTCCTTGGTTGGGCACTTCTCGACGATCGACTGCAGCCTATCGTAGAATTGATCTTTAGCGTCTTCATCGTAGTCATTGGTAGGCGCATAGCATTGGATGACGTTCATTGTAATGCCCTCTCTCTTTGTTTTGAAGGAGGCTTTGATGATCCTTGGTCCATGAGGTTCCCATCCAATAAGTGCATTTTGTGCTTTTCTGGACAGCATCAATGCAACTCCTTGTGTATGTGGGGCATTTTCTTCTTCATGACCGGAGTATAACAGAAGTTCTCCTGAAGACAGACGTTGTTGTCCGACCTGCGTCCAATGTGTTTCGCTGGTTCCAAGAACCTCCAGGTTGTATTTTCTCATTTCTGCAGCAATTTGGAAGACTCTTCCGGTCTCCCACATTGTTCGGACATTTCATGTACCTATAAAAATTGTCGCTCTGGTTGTAAGAAGGTGCATCGGCCTCATGACTTCCGAAGGAACTCGGCTTTCATCATGAGACGTCATTATTCCTTCTACTTCCAGGACAGAGTTTGAATGGTTTGAATGATTTTTTCTGGTTAGCGTTTTTTTAGCGAGTTGATTTTCTACGGGGTGGGGTCGCTAACCCCATGCCCAACCCTCCTCCTTTACCCGGGCTTGGGACCGGCAGTAACCCCCAGAGGAGCTACAGGCGGAGTACTTAGGCTTGACCACTTCAATTTCATCATCCGGACTGTTTGTGACAATGTAGTTTAGTCGTATTTCTTTCACACACACACACACGAGAACAACAAAACTTTCTACCTGACATTTTTGTGTTGTCCTATTACTGTGAACATTCCAAAATTTTACGTTATGTATTAATTGCTTTTTCAAAATCAATCTGTTTTACTCACTTGTGTATAACCTGTTTGTGTCCTTATGAAGTACTTCAAAATGTTTGCTTTTTGCGTTGTGTTCTCTGAGCTAAATAGTTTAATTAGGAAGCTTTCATTGCCATTCTTGGCAAAATCTTCAGCGCCTACTTATATTGCGTTGAGCTTTTCGGTTATTTCATAAGTGTCCTATCAGTTCGTTCCAATGGTTACGTTTGTGAGTGATTGTTTTCGTAGGTTTTGTTGTTTCTATTTGCCTTTGTTGGTTTAGCTGTAGTCTTGTAACTAGTTGATCTCTTCCTCATGGGTTCATAGGTTAAGTCTGTATTGATGTATTTTTTAGTTTGAGATTGATCTGAATGACATGATTTTAGAAATCCCCTGGTAATCTTGGAGTTTCCTTGGTTTAAAATTCCGACGTTTCTTCTGTCGAATTCATATCCACAATTGTTTGAATTTACTGATATCACTGGTATCACATCACACCGTTTCAGTGTTAGTCTTTGTTTGTGTGTAGGTGAATGGAATGTTCATTGTGTCCAAAATGTTGATAAAACTCTTTATTTAAAGAAGTCATTGTATCACGTTCCCATAGCTACTGTTCCCTTTATTCCACAATTACAGTGATTTTACTATATTTTTCGTTTTTTCTTCTTCGTGTTCACTTCTCAGTGTAATTGATCCAAATTTGTTGGCACGAATACAATCTATGGTTGATACATTGGCGCATACTCGTGTATTACAAGAACAATTAAATCAAGCGCGAGCTGAACGCCAACATCAACACCATCAACAACATTCAAGATATCAGCAACAACAATCAAATACTGTTGTTCGATCTATCAATGGTGTAACAGCTGGTCAACTAGAAGATGATATAAAACTAATTCGGGTTAGTCGTTGTTGTTGTGTTTTAATTTTAATTTTCAAATTCATGATCCAATGTAAGATAACAAGTGAATTCACCTATCTCATACCACCATCTAGGCTCTCTAACCACCGATCGTGGTTATTGCATGAACCACACAGCCACCTAGCCTACACTTACTGACGTAACTTATTTTAATAGTCGTTGACTTTACGGACTTTTATTTCCGTTTACCGGCAAAGATCACGCGTCAAGGCAGGCTCTGGTTAAGTATACATAATACATGTCACAACCAATAATGGTGCAGAGTTAATTTGAAAACAAGATCATTTCTTCGGTCGATTTGTTTTTTCTCTTGTTCAGTTACACGTACGTCAAAGAAAAGTGGTTGACAACAGTATGTATTTCACATACTTCCTTAGGTAGACGTTCTTATCTTTTTAATAATTCGTCTGTTTTTTTTCTAAAATCTTTTTCTAAAATTCATCTTAACATAAATGACCCAGTATTTTCACAATATTGTTGGTTAATTGATGACAGTCTATGGTAAGCCCCCCTGGCTCTAGATTTTATGCTATTTAACAAACGATTGGAATAAGTTTGTCACAACAGTCGGGGAATGGCTCCGTAAGAAAACCGCCTGTTTCGGTTTGGGTACGCGGACAGTATCCCATCCTTCACATATGTATTTGGTGCATCCTTGTAACAAATTTCGTGTTTAAATAAGTAAATAAAGTATGGATTTCAAAATATGTGAGCTACAATAATACGAAGATCAAGATTACTCTGTAAATCACCTATCCAAGTGCAGATTTCTTCACTCAACTTTGAGTTCCAGCATTTGTGCGAGGGATAATGGTAATACCTGGCCACCTAAACGGAAATATGTAAAGTGAGGTTTGAGCCTACAACCAATTGAACGAAAATTGAGTATTTTAACCAACAAGTCACTGTTCGTGCAGACTGATAAAAGGTCTTCCAGTAGATTTACTTCATTTGCCTAACAATAAAATCAAATGGTCCCCAATATTCCATCCAACTGTATTGTCTTGTCTTTTTTGCCTCTTGGTTTTCTAGCCTACAGATAACCGTGGTGGTTTAGTTAGTTCAGTTAAACTAAAAACAGACACATGTATTCGGAATGATTCAAATAGATTAATACGACCTACAACACCTCCATGTTCATCAGATGCTGAAGACGATCATGGCATTCTACCACAATCATGTGATAGAAAGCTCCACTTAACAAAGAAGAATAAAATTGCAAATAGAACTAGTTCGAAACATTTAGACTCCAAAGTAAGTTTAGTATTAAATTGTGATTATTGTGTGTGATTGTCTGATATTGTCTTTCTGACCGCTTATCAAGGATTCAGCCACAAATATCATGTTAAAAGCGATTGATTTTGACCTTCTAAACTGACCACTTTGAATTTTATTTCAAAAGGTTAAATAAATTGTCTTGGTGTCCTTGATTGACTGACCGCCTCTATGTAATGTGTTGTTACATAATATTTCTATGAAAGTTTTTAAACGTTATCGAAGTTCTAAGTTGTACAAGACCACAAAAGCAGACTCAGCATTTCACCTGGTTGGTGTATACAAATAGATTAACTAGAAGAGTTGGAAACCTCTGTTTGCAAAAAGTACGCGGATATAAACTTCAGAATTCTTAAAGAGCGAATAGCTTATGAGCATTCTTTGGTCTCTAACTCCCCCTAGACAACATCTATTGTTGCTCCATCGCTCTGTGGAATATATATTTATTACATCTACTTAGGTTCAACGCAACGGAGATAGTATTACTAGTCGGTTTCAAAGCCTCACGTACACTAACGTGTACTTGGTTAATGAGGTACACTGAAAATACGTTTATCGGTTTTTATATGTTAAGGTGTTTATGCTATTTAATTTAATACTTCAGAATATCAAACTTTGTCATTAAGACCTTTTGTATTAGTTATTTGGATCTTCGCCTTAATGTTCAGGACTGAAATTGATCAGTCTCTTTTTGGTAAATGTATATCCTGTACATTTTTTGCCCCCAAATGCCCTGGTAAGGCCGAAAGTGGGTATAGTCAGCTCTCCCTCTCGAAATGCTCTCACATGACCACGCGTATTCAGCCTCTGCCAGGGAAGTCCTACTCACTACCTTTTTCGTGGTGGGGGTGTTGTTTACAAAATTGAGAAAACGAAAAGCGAATGTCCGGCGCTTTAATGAGATTTGTGCGGCGCATATGTATTTGGTGCTTCCTTGTACCAATATTTATGCTATTAAATAAAAATAAAATATAACATCCTGCACGCATTACCTTGATATTGCCATTACGTCACAAGTACTATAAGCACAGACATAATAGTTAGCAGTGGAATTAAGGACGCCCGTTTGTCTTATTTGGGACTCGTCAGCTTGATGTATCTGCACCCCAGAATTGACCAATTGCAGTCCTGAACATCGATGGGAAGATTCAAACAACCAATACAAATGAAATATACTTCACCTCATTGCACAACCCAATGGCTATCTGGACTTAGTGTCTAAGTGGATAACTCGATGACGTTTGAAGTGAACAGTACTGAGCTCGAGTCCCAGTGTGAAAATCAACTGTGAAATACAGATATACCCAGCTAAGTAGTCCTAAATGAGACGAAACCAGTGTTCTGAATTCCACTGCTAGCCACTATTCATCTTTACTGATAATGTTTGCCATTAAGATTTAAGTTAATTGTAAATATTACTAAGACAATTTGCTTGTTGTACTCTTATGACACGTAACTAAAGTGTAATATAAGTTATTTTAAATAGCTTTATGATATTTGCAAAATATCGTATTCAGTTATAGATATTCCTCTTGGATCCAGTATACTAGTTGTACTTACAGACAAGAATGCTCTAAGCACGTCATTTAAAATTAACCGACTGCCTTTTGGATTATTTTTTAGCCAATTTAATTTGATTTCGAGTGAATAAAGAGTGAGAAAGAGAGTAACTAAGTGAATCATTAAAACAATAAATAGCACCTCGTGAACGTGTTTCTTTTCTTTGTCACTCAACAACAGTCATTCACAACGTAGAACTTTGTACGTACGTACATCACTTCGAGTTGCCATACCACATTAGCACAGAGATGCAGTTATCGATTCAAATCCCATAGTGGTAGCTCAGTGGTAACGTCTCTGACTGTGAAACTGAGTGACACGGGATGGAATCCGTCAAGGAGCACCAGTTCCCTCAAGATTACAGGTACACCTTACTGACGAGTGCCAAGTAGCACGAAACCCGAGCCCAGGGTTTCCTGTTGACCACCTCACCCGAACGTTGCTGCTACCTTGACGTGGTGGTTCGGCTTGCCTATCGTGATGATCCAATCGAGCTATGCTGGCTGGAAAAATCGTTCCTCAAGGTCCTACCATGCCAGACAGGTCGGTTGAAGAGTGGTAAGACTAAAAGCAGCAATCCCAAGGTCCGAAGGTGAAGTCGTACTGCTGACTGTACAGAGGTGTGACGGCAGTAAGGTGTTTCCTTCAGACAACCAGCGTAACAGCGATGCTGCCTTCCCATAAGGAGGGGTGGAGTTCGAAAAGGTCGACCCTAAAAATGCACACCTCGCCTTATCCCACGGATATCGGTCTCCGGCGGTAAGGTCCCAACAAGTACGGAGCTAACACAAAAATTACCCACAAAAGGTCGTGTGAACGACCTCAAGCAGTTGTCCCTTGGGCACTGCGGTCACGCTCCCAGGTCGTTAAGACCAACACTAATCCAACTTCCTTTTCAGGTCCCTCAAGAAATACTTTTCTATGGTGTGGGCAGCCGGGTAGTGATATTAGCCCTCATACCCTTAACTGCACACGAGACCAAGTTGGTCATATTCAAATTCTTCCTACACCTCCTAATAACTCTGTTATCTCCACGACTAACCCTTCTCACGTCCTTTTATTACCTCTCACAACATCTAGTGACATTGTATTTTTACGAGTTTAGAACCTCTGAACTCACGTTTAAACTCACAGTTTAGAGCTTTCAAACTAACGTTTAAAGAATTTTTTCTTACCTAAATCCAGGTGAATTTTTCAGTATATATGATCATATCGTTTTACTTATCAGTAACTTGTTATCTATGTTTACTCTATTTTTATGAACAATGTGTTTTATCAGCCCTTAGATGTTGCTTTTCGTGATTCCAATATCTCTCAGGGTTCCCGTAAACATCATATTTGCGATTCTCATCCAGTGCATAATTTCGATAGAGAAACTAGTCATGTAGATGGATATTTGCCATCAGATAATTCTTCATTTTCCGATCGAAATAATAGTAATATTAATTATAATGACGATCAAGTTCATCAATTTCGAGAACATTCAAATCGATTTGTTTCAGATTATGAAAATTGTGATGATTGGAATATTTCATCAGGTCAAAGAGTTCGTAATAAGTATAGTCGGTAAGTTTGTTGTCTCTACATTTATCCGGTTCTATCTTGATATAATGAATGCTAATAGGTAGTATTACAGCAGTGTTGAATGAAAACTAATCCTATTTGAATTCACTTAGTATTGTTTTGTTTGAATCTTCCCATTGATGTTTTCGGACTATATCGAGACAATACGCACAGTATGCACATATGCCAATTAGAGACTGACTAGTTACAGTCCTAAAACATCAATGAGAAGATTCAAACAAAACAATACTAAGTGAATTTAAACTTCACCCCATAGCACAAGGAAGTGGCTATCAGGACTCAGTGGCCGAGGGGATAACGCGATTGATTTTGAAGTGAAAGGTACTGAGTTCGAGTCTCAGAGTGAACATGAACTCTGAGATGTAGGTACATCCAGCTGACAAGTCCAAAATAGGACGGAACGCGCGTCCTGGATTCCAGTGTTAGCCACTATTCATCTTTGCTTACCATAATCCTATTTCTTTTTAGTTAAATTTCCTAATACATTACTCTTTTTTCTGTGCTCTATCTTCAAACAAAATGTTTACTGGAAGCAGAAATGTTGAAGATGAATTTCTCCGCCTCTGTATGCGAGTTATTACTTCAATACTGATCTGAATCAACGCATACTTTGACTTATAATAAGGAGCGAAATCTCGTCAGATCTTGTCGGATGGTAGCTAACGAAAATTTAGGATGAACTCATTAATCCCTATTGGGTTTTATCATCTATGACGCATTTGATATGCCTGTCTGTCTATGAAAGGCGCGAGTATATTACGTAACAATTCGGTTTGTTAAATGAGTAGTTGATCATGGTTATCTTAAAAAAATTCTTACATATGACAGGAAAACAGAGTTACTAGTGCTGAGGTTGGATTTAGGGTACTCAGTAAAGATGATAAATTGTTTGATAAGACTGTGAATCGTTGTCAGCTACGGTATCTGAAAAATCTGTGACGTATGTCCAACCAAAATAATCAGTTGAGTGGAACTCGTCACTATACATCAACTTCATTGACTGTGAGAAGGCGTTTGACAGTGTGGACAGGAGAGCATTATGGAAACTTCTTCGATATTATGAAGTTTCTGAGAAGATTGTCAACATTATCCAAAACTCATACGATGGGCTACAGTGCGAAGTGGTGCATGGAGGACAGCTGACAAATGCATTTCCAGTAAGGACCGGAGTCAGACAAGGCTGTCTACTCTCCCCTTTTCTCTTCTGGTGATTGACTGGATTATGACGACCTTAACATTTGAGGGAAAGTACGAAATACGATGGACATCTCAGAACCAATTAGACGATTTTGACTTCACAGATGACCTAGCCCTCCTCTCTCATACACACGAACAAATGCAGATGAATACCGCAAGTGTAGCAGCAGCCACCGCATCGATAGGCCTCCACATTCACAAAGGAAAAAGCAAGATTCTCAAATGCAACACGGAGAACACCAACCCAATCACACTTGATGGCGAAACTCTGGAAGAGGTGGAAACATTCACGTACCTGGGAAGCATCGTTGGTAAACAAGGAGAATCTGATGCAGATGTAAAGGCGAGGATTGGCAAAGCAAGGGCAGCATTTCTACAGTTGAAGAACATATGGAACTCAAAACAACTCTCAACCAATTTCAAGGTCAGAATCTTTAATACGAACGTCAAGACAGTCCTACTGTATGGAGCTGAAACGTGGAGAGCTACTACGGCCATCATCAGGAAGGTACAAGTATTTATAAATAGTTGTCTATGCAAAATACTCAACATCCATTGGCCGGATACTATCAGCAACAGCGTTTTATGGGAGAGGACAAACCAGCTTCCATCTGAAGAGGAAATTAGGAAAAGATGTTGGAAGTGGATCGGACATGCATTAAGGAAATCACCAATGTGCATCACGAGGCAAATCCTAACTTGGAATCCTAAAGGGAATCGGTAAAGTGGAAGGCCAAAAAGCACATTACTCCGGGAAATAGAAACAGATTTGAAAAGGATGAATGTTAACTGGAAAGGATTTCTCAGGACAGGGTTGGATGGAGACTGCTGGTGGGCGGCCTATGCTCCTCGACGAGGGGTAACAGGCGCAAGTAAGTAATGTCCAGCCACCGCCTACCCTAATGAAAAATGTTGGGTAGTATAGGGATGGTTTAGAAGAAAGTTAGGAGTGACCGAATCAGGCTGTAATGCCAGATTATAATATTAACTGTTGAACCGTATCGCGTTGATAGATATACAAAAGATAAATTTTACTCATTCACCAGGTTCTTGGGCATAAGCCGCACTCTAGGTGTGAGTACCAATGTCACCACCCAGGTGCCCAAATCGGAATAGATGGAGTGCGGTCCGAATCTTGAAGTAAATGATTAAGCGGTTTGCTAGCCACCATCATCTTTTTATAATATTTGATTTTCGCTCATTCAATCACCGCTCCAGATATGAACTTCCTGTTAGGTGTCCACGACTTTATAGTCATATGTATAAAGACTATTTGATACGACTCAATATTGGTTCTAGTTGCACAGATTCACTCATTCTTTATGCAAATTTTGTGTTAAATGTCATTGTAAACCTTATCATTCTGTAGTCTTGTTTGTTCTATCTCTCATGTTGATATTTCAGATTATAGTTTAAACTATTACCCCTTTCTTGCTTGTCATCTAATTTATTTTCTCTCTCTCACTATTATTGGTTTACGCTATTGCGGTAACTTGAATTGATACAACTTTGTTCTAGGTTGTCTCACATTGATGATAACCAATATCCTGTTAATATTATGATTGGTTAATTGACAATTCTTCTTAGTGAGTTATTATTATTTTTTGACATGAATTTATTCTTGAGAATCTTCTCAATCTGCAACTTCCGTTTATCATTTCCTTTTTTGATAGTCTCGATTCGTATGATGATCGTGTTGGTCCTCCTCATTCTCATCATCATCGACATGCTTTTCTTGAATCGCATAAACTTGATATATCCGACAATGAACCTGAACACTCAGATCAATTTGTTGATGAGTATGCTTCAGATTCACCTATTCTAAGTCCTGTTCGTCGACGTTTTGATGATAGTCTGTTTCCAAATGCATCAGTATCACCAACTGAATCCGACTTGAAACATCGTGAACGTCGTAGGAAACATCTTGGCTTGCCTACATTGAAACCAGATCATGTTGGGATTTTATCGCATACAGTATTTATTGGTCATTTGCATAAACAATTAGCTGAAAGCAAGCTAACAGCACTTTGTTCAGAAGTAACTGAAGGTCAAGTAATTGAATGTAATTTCATACCACCACGTGGATGTGCATTTGTTACATTTGCTACTCGAAGAGCTGCACATCGTGCAGTCATTCAAATGGATCAATCTACAATGAGTGGTCGAGAAATTAAAGTAGCCTGGGCTCCAAATCTCGGTATTAAATCAAGAGAAGATTATGTCACTAATTATTGGGATACTGATGAAGGTTGTACTTATTTACCGATAGAAGAAGTTGTAAAATTAACACGTCCCCAATTTGATGATCTTTTAGCTGGTTGTGGTGAAGTTGATGAAGAATCTCTCACTGATCCTCGACTTAGAGGTTTGATCATGATGAACAGTACTAATAATAATGATAGTAAAACACAATCGATTAGTTCTCCTAATGTAACTTCTGTTAAGAGGCTACAAACAACACCGACCACTCAAAAATCTGCAACAATCACCTCGACAAATTTATCAGTATCAGTCTATTCTCCTGTTATTGTACCACCGTCTGTTCCGATGGTATTAACTCGTCCAATACCACCAATGCAACCGATAGTTCCTCGATCAGTCCCATTAATCCTACCTTTAGTAGCGGGTATGTTCTTTGTTTTTTGTTGTTGAATATTTTCTAGAGTGTTTTTGATTGATTTTAACTTAATTGTTAGTTTTCAATACACACTGACATAAAAATAACATAGAGAAGAAAGTTTCACTTAGTGGAGATACTGATAACGTGCAAAGTCTCCTAATCATTCTGAGCAGTAACGCAAGCTCACTTAAAGTGGGTTTTGTCTCTTAAATGCAAAATATTGATTCAGGACTGATCTAGATCAACACATAAACTAATGCTAGGATGTGAAGCAGTTTAGTGCATTGACCACTTCATTTGTCTAAGAAGTCTGGTCAGCCGTGGTGTGTTTGCATGTGATGAATTCGGAAAGTTCGGTTGAATTTTGCTAAGTTATGTCAATTGTGGTATAGGCGTGGTGTCTGTCTACTGACTAAAGGACGAGTGTACTGCACAGTAGTCTATGAAAGTAGATGTGGATAGGCCGAAGGGTTTTTGATCATAGGGGCCTTTGAAGTGTTGCTTTATGACTATGAAACATTGCCTCTTAAAAATAGAGGGTGCTTATAGGTTATTAGTATTTGACTATAGATGACTTTGAAGGATCATTTGTGTATTTTAAGATCGCAAACTGAGGACTGTTAAGGTTAGATTCAAAGTACTAGTTAAAGATAGCAAATCGATTCGTCATTTAGTAAATCTACAATGACTGAAGCGATTAGGATACGTTTTACTTGTGTCTTTGAAATCTTCAACTGTTGAACTGAGTCATGATGGTAGGTCTCAGGTGACTTATCTGCGTTCCTTGTGAATTATGTGACCAATGGTTATAAACTTTAAATGAAATAATCCAAAATCGGTCATAATGGTCTAAATGCATTCATTCTCTGGCTTCTTTTAGATCGCGAGTTTAAAAATCATCTTTTACTTTGTATTCTACGAATTCACTTATTTATTCTCAAATCATATTTTCTACTATTACTGATAGTATTATTACTTTTACTACTCTGGTATTTGTCTTGATAATTTCATATGACTGTGTTGATATGGTGTAGCAAATTGAATTAAATTGACATATATGACAGGTTCTACGTTTCGTATTGTAGTGAACAAGAACACGGGTGGAGACAATCGAATGTATTTTAGCACAACATTACAGATTATCTCATTAAAATATGAGAACCATGTAGTGAACAGTTAATTTGCAAAATAACAATCAATTGTCTCAACATGACTGTTTCTTCTGCAAATATCCGTCCATAGTCTCCAATTATAATTGTTCATACATTTTCGTACCGATTGCGTGCCGTTCCTGTTCTCTCCTTATCGATCTTCTACTGAAATACATTCAATGCTCAACCATCACCATATACTACTTATGTGGATATCAGTAACCTACACCACACTCGTCCCCCCTTAAAGCATTCGTTCATGCCGTGGTTCTGCTCGCCGTACACACTATCCTCTTTTATTGCAGTCTGTGCCAATCTCTCCCCCAAAATGTTGAGTCTGCGGCCTGCTGACCTCCATAGCTCCGTCGACCTGCCGGGGCACCAACATCCAAAATCCACCCTGTACCTGGGACGTTCAGCACCCGTATTCCACCGACCTGCTGAGCCATCTACATCCGATGTCCACCCAGAAGCCGCACGTCCCATCACTCCTCTCCATCGACAGCACCTGCTACAGCCAACGCCGCCCCGCCAGAACACTCCACTTGACGTCACTTCTCCGTACCAGACTAGCACCTCAACTCCAGACCCGCAGCGGCGCCCAAAGAACAACACCCTTCCCCCTCCCGGTTGGCAGCGACACCAAATGTAGTGAACAAGAACATGGGTGGGGACAATCGAATGTATTTTAGCACAACATTACAGAAGTATCACTAACTAGTAGAATTGGTTTTTTACTAATATTCTTCAATTGATCTGTATGAAGTTGATAAGTAAATAGATAGGTTTCATATATAGTTTTCATGTATTTGTGAATGTGCTTATTAACCCATTTACCAGGTAAAAAGTACATGTACTTGCCTACGAGCCACACTCTCAAAGTCAAAGGACTAGTTAGTGATAATATTTGATTATTCAGACTGAAGTAGATGGTGCAGGGTTCGAAACTAAAACTTATTATCTGAAACTTGAACACCTTACTAATCAACAAACTACTGCTCCACCGAATTAGTATCAGTTAAGGAGAATCATTTATCTAAAGCTCTATAACACTGAACAAATACATCGTTCCAAATTAATAATTACTGTCACTTGTTAACTCAATAAACAAATCAGGTGGTAGTCTTGTGTATATTTAAATCACAATCTGAATGCCTACTAAGCTTTTGTATCTCATGGACTTTTAGTTACGGGTTTGTAGGTTCGAACCCCATCCCACCTTCAATTTAAGCAACTGGATAACATCACCACCTCCCACACTTGGATTGTAGCTTGAAGCCGAGTCCAAAAATCTCTATCCGTCCATTTAAGTCATAAAAAAACTTAAATCTCACATTATGCCATCTTTTGCGTTGGAGATGAGATAATCAAAATGCAACAATTAGTCATGCCAATAAATCAGTCATATTAATTACTATTTGTTGCATCTATATATCCACGTTCCTACTTTACTACTCCATTTCATAGCCATTTGATAAATTGCTTTTAAATTCCACTAAATTACTTGTTATTTTTCATTATTACTCTTGTTTTCAAAGCATCAGTCCCACGTATGTCAGTCCCCACACAACCATTATATTTTCAACAGAACAATACAACTGCTGCTTCTAGAGCGCCTCCTCCACCACCACCACCGCCTCCCCCACCACCTCCCCCACCGCCACCACCGCCTCCCCCGCCTCCTCCTCCACCACCACCTACACAACCGTCAATTACCCCTCCCCCTTCTGCCACTATATCATCCCAACCTCATTCAACAACCACTACACCTGGATGTCAGTGGAATCCTGGAATTAATGCAAATAATAATCAACATGTTGCAAATCAGCAATTATTACAACAAAATCCAAAGCCGGAATTGTCAACTTCAAGCGTTGCCGGGCTTAGACCATACAACAGACCACCATTATTACCACATACATTTCTTCCACGTAAGTGCACATTATTATTATTGTTATTACTGTATAGGGATCGTGGATAAGTATGAAAAACTTGGAAAGACTGGACATCTGTTTGGTCCTATTTGGAAAGTTCTCAGCAATCGTTTTACACATCAGTGATCAAACTCGTAGCTTTCAGGTTTTGCGAAGAGCACTCAAACTTTAGACTTTTAAGTTGTTATCTGTCAACTTCTAAGATTGAGCAATCGTCTTTTAATATCATCGGTTAGGAACCAATCGCCTCACACTGGACATGATTAAAACTCCAGCAGTCCTATGCTAGGACAAAATAGCTATCTAACTAAGGTCAGTCCATGATGTAAAATATTATTATTACATCATTCAATTAGTTGATATGACTTAATAAATTGACGTAAACATCTACTTACTGCCATTCACTTTACTATGAAAAATAATGTAAATACTGCCTCCTAAGTTTTTCCACATACCTCAGTAGATAGTCCGGAAGTAGAAATGTAGTAGCTCTACATACAAAAAATGTAATTGATTTATCAGGTGTGTACAATGATTGTATATTAATATTATATACGATATTCTTGGGTATATAGGGTGACAAATAATAATAATATACAAAAAACATCAATACCTGAAAACGAGAAAAAAGAAAGCGTTTCTATTCGAGCTAAAAGCAAGTAGTGCAACATCATATGGAATGATCTGTTGGGAAGAATGTTGGCCCCCAAATGCCCCAGTACGGCCGTTGCTGCTACCTTGACGTGGTGGTCGGGCTTGCCTATCGTGATGATCCAATTGAGCTATGCTGGCTGGAACAATCGTTCCTCAAGGTCCTACCATGCCAGACAGGTCGGTTGAAGAGCGGTGAGACTAAAAGCAGCAATCCCAAGGTCCGAAGGCGAAGTCGTACTGCTGACTGTACAGAGGTGTGACGGCAGTAAGGTGTTTCCTTCAGACAACCAGCGTAACAGCGATGCTGCCTTCCCATAAGGAGGGGTGGAGTTCGAAAAGGTCAACCCTAAAAATGCACACCTCGCCTTATCCCACGGATATCGGTCTCCGGCGGTAAGGTTCTTTTGAAGAACGGAGCTAACACGTCAAAAATCCCCCACAAAAAGGCCGTGCGTGACCGGCCTCAAGCAGATGTCCCTTGGGCACTGCGGTCACGCTCCCAGGTCGTTAAGACCAACACTAATCCAACTTCTTTTTCAGGTCCCTCAAGAAATACTTTTCTATGGTGTGGGCAGCCGGGTAGTGATATTAGCCCTCATACCCTTAACTGCACACGAGACCAAGTTGGTCATATTCAAATTCTTCCTACACCTCCTAATAACTCTGTTATCTCCACGACTAACCCTTCCCACGTCCTTTTATCACCTCGCACCGCTAGGGCAAACGATTCGAGTACACAGAACGTTATTCCTGGTCTCCTGAAACCACGCTCTAAACTACATATAGGAACTTTTAATGTCCGAACATTAGGCCAAATAAGACAACAGGCTTCCTTAGCTATTATTGTTATTATTATTAATGGCATTATTCTATATTATAATCTGGTACAATATAGAATTCTCAGCACGAGTTATTTCAACAAGTTTTTTCCCAAAAAAAACAACAAAAAACAGAAATAAAATATAAAAAAGGTTTAAGAAAATCTGAGTTTTTACAAATTATCGAATATGAGACATGCTTAAGAAGACAGGTTATTTACTAGGTCAACTCTAACAGCCTGTTCGTCACAAAGTAAATTTGCAAGGTAAGGTATTACAGAACTTTTATAGATTTGCTTGCGTGCATGGATTTTAATGTATTTACGTCTCGTTCTACCAGAAGATATACAAGGAGGAAGATATGAATGAAGCGGATGGTTAGTATCTGATAAGATAACACCTGCCAAGAGTTCGCAAGACTTAAGATGTCTATCCATAAGCACATTAACAATGACTTCAAAAGATTCACCACATACCTTGCAAACTGCCTTCAGCACTCTACGTAAATTAGCAAAGTCTTTTCTCAAAAGCCTGGGAAAGAATAATGGAGAACAATATTAAATAATAGGTAATATGCAGGAATTTACAAATTGTAAGAGTAAATGGCGAGTAATCCCAAAAGCATACAGCCTCTTTATGTAGTATGTCAAACGGTAAACTTTTTTCGATAACAGTAAAACATGAGAAGACCAAGAAAGATCAAAGAAAAAAGTAACACCAAGATATTTGACCCTCGACACTGTGTTTATTAAGGAATCTCCAATGGCACAAGCATTATGGGATCCCAACATAGAGTATAGGTTCTGTCCATGTCTCAGGCTAAAGTTAACAGCTTGACATTTAGATGGATTGAGTAAGAGACCATTACCAACAGACCACCTTTCAATACGAGATAAAAACTCATTCATTTCTATAGGATGTAAGGAGGTATAAATTGGCATACATACAGTGATGTCGTCCGCATATTTTACAAAAGTGTTTTCTGTGGAAGATGGCAGATCATGCAAAAAGAAAGAGAAGAGCAGAGGTGAAAGAACAGCTCCTTGTGGCACACCTACAGTAGACAGTAGAGATGGTGAACACTTTAGTTGAGAAGGATCTGTTAAAGATATTCGTTAATGGATGACATAAAACATCAGCACATTTTTAAAAAAGGGGGTTTGGGATACCATCAGGTCCTAAACATTGGGATGAATTCAGAGACTGGAGACATTTCCGGACATCATTTTCAGTGAAACTAGGGACACAATTATTCTTCAAACCCTTGGATATAGGGAGCATGATGTCAGATGACTGACGAATAAAGGACTTATTTAAGTCATAAACATTTAGCTGGTTATCGCTTCTAGTCTGTCTGTCTCCTGTAATTTCTTTAAAGAGTTTCCGCATACTTGGAGAGCTTCTACAAGATAGGAGTTTTTGAGTGAACACAGAGTTGAGACGTCTAATCTCTTGGTTTATTTGATCATTTAACTTACGAACTTCAATAGTGTTTTTCTCCTTGTACATCCTTTCTTTTACCCTCCGTAGTCGTTTTAGTTGGGGGGATGTAAGTCGATCAAAACTTAAAAAGAAGGTTTCGGTAGGATAGCAAATGTCAAAACAGAATTTAAGATAAGAGGTGATAACATCCGTTGTGTTTTCTATTGAGTCATCTGTAAGTACTTCCCAGTTGGTCGTGAGAAACATGTCTTTTAGATTTTGTAAATTTTCTTCTGAGTAACTCCTATATATTACTTTTTTGGTATGGTGTGTGTGTATTCTTTCCATGTTTACCATATACTTTAGGTAGGACACGAATTATACAGTGATCCGAACTAGACAATGGAGCACGTTTGCGAGTCACATATGTACACACATCATTAATGAAAACCAAGTCTAGCATTCAAACGAGTAGGAAAATCTACTACATTTAGGTGACCTAGTGATGTAAGGAAGCTACAGTCACATGAATTGAAATTACCACATACAATTGAAAGTGAATCACTGAAGGCAGTAACGGCGAATTCAGTAAATTTATCAGTGAAGACAGATAGCGCAGATGACGTGCAGTCTGGATTCATGTAGATATTGGTAACATAAATATATTTGTATTTATTCAGGTGTTTTGGACGGCACCTTTAAGTTAGACAGTCAATAAAGTCGTTTGAAAACTTGAAACAGGCAAAAGTAGATGTACACCAGTTAACGTTTACAAAAGTAGCTACTCCGCCACCACAAGTCTTTTTACTGTTTGATCGATCCTGACGATAGATATTCAAATCACGTAATGACACTAAGCAATCATCCTGTAAGTCAGTTAACCAAGATTTTTGAATTGTGATGACACCACAATTACGATACATGTTTTGACTTAGCAGAAATTGGAGATAGTCCACCTTGTTAATTAGTGATCGACAGTTGAGAGTTAAGTAGCTCGGGAATCGACATTTGATTGATGTTTATTCTCTTTAAAGCTTATTGCCAACCACCACGATGTCTCTTATTGTACTTGTTTGTAATTTTTGCAGCGAAAGGACGTAAGCATTTTATAAACGCGCCTGTGTAGGTTATGCGATTAATAGACATAATGATAGGTTAAAAAAAATTTAAAAAAAACACCCAGATAACTTGTTGAAATATTTAGATGGCAGAAAACAGGTAGCCCAGGTATTCAAGCAGGCCGCCTTATTTGTATACAGTTTGTATACAGCTAGGACTTTAGAATCTTACACCATCGATGTGTGCTGCGTCTTCGAAACGCGCATACAAGATCCGAGTAGTGTCATTCATTTGACTTCACTTAATCAAAATAAAGTTTCATCTCGATACACGCTTCGTGTATCTGGAAGCCTTGATGCTGCTTCCCGTGGCCTCGCTGGAGTAGGTATAGCATTAAGTCCTAGGGCAGAACTAGCTCTTTTAGACTGGATCCCAGTAGACAGTCGTCTATGCGCTGTCCGACTAAACGGATCAGTAAGGACCCGGAAAGATAGGGAAACTCGTCGTTGCCTTTTCGTCGTCTCTGCCTACTCTCCCACTGACTGCAGCTCAGACGATATAAAAGATGAGTTCTACAGGAAACTTTCTGACCTTCTCCGAGAAGCTAGGCGTTCTGATGTAGTAATAGTAGCAGGTGACTTTAGTGCTCAAGTAGATAAACTAAGCGAAAGGGAAAGACACCTGGGTGGATCTTATGGTGTCATGGCGAAAAGAACAGATAATGGCGACCGTCTGTTGCAGCTATGCTCAGATAACCGCCTATTTCTTGCAAATACTAACTTTAAGCATAAGGAAAAACATTTTTTGACATGGCGACCCCCGAATTCGTCCCAACGTTGGACCCAATTAGATCACATCGCTATCAGCCACCGATGGAGGGGCTCGATAGAAGACTGTCGCTCATTCTGGGGCACATGTTTAGATTCAGATCATGCTCTAGTGCGAGCACGTATCTGTCTGCGTCTTACTGGTCGTAGGAAAGACACTGCAGGGAAGCCTCTAAGGGTTCTACTTAATGATAGGCAAGCTAAGAATATATTTCAGGAACAACTAGAAAAACAATTAGGCAGCCATGTAAGTTGTGTCCACCCCGAGGCAGTGTGGAATGACATCCGAAAAGCTGTGGAAACAGCAGTGATATCCGCTAGTAAGGTAAACCATAACGTTAGGGAGAAACAATGGATCTCGGCTGCATCTACCGCACTGATGCTCGTAAACTCATCCCACCTGGCTCTGAGCATAACGAAGAGCGGAGTCAACTTAAGCGCAGGCTTATAAGAAGTCTACGTAATGATCGTGAACAGTGGTGGGTAGCGAAAGCAAGAGAGATGGAAAAGGCAGCGGCAATAGGTAACAGTAGGCAGCTATTCAGACTCGTTAAAGAAACCGGTATTAGGAACCCGAATATCAGTGAAATCATCTCAGATAAAGATGGGCATATTATTCATTCTCAATCCAGGAGATTGGATCGATGGGCAGAACACTTTAGGGATCAGTTCAACTGGCCTTCAGCCACACTTCAATTACCCACGATCCCCAGTCGTCCTGAATGGCAAATTGATGTAAGTCCTCCAACCCTCTGTGAGGTTGAAAAAGCTATAGGAGATCTGAAGCGAGGGAGAGCAGCAGGCCCAGACAAGTTGACCCCTGAGATTTTTAAGGATGGTGGTCCAGTACTAGCAGTGAGATTGAATGAGGTCTTAGGTAGAATCTGGGAACTGGACGTAATTCCATCTGGCTGGTCCCAATCACTGATTGTGCCAGTCTATAAGAAAGGACAAAAGTCCTCTTGTGACAATCACAGAGGGATCAGTTTGACTAATATAGTGTCTTAAATATTAGCTTCAATAATACTAGGTCGCCTAACCAAAGCTCGTGAAGAGCAGACTAGAGAAAACCAGGCTCGTTTTCGACCTGGACGTGGTTGCATAGACCAGATATTCACCCTACGTCAGGTCCTAGAACATAGACACAAATTCAGACGTCCCACAATAGTAGTATTTCTTGACCTTAAAGCGGCATTTGACTCCGTGGATCGTGAGGTTCTATGGCAGTGTTTGTCACTGAAGGGAGTACCAAAGAAGTACATTAACCTCATAAAGGCTCTCTACTCGAACACAACTGGTCGAGTTAGAGCCTATGGCGAACTGTCATCAGAACTGATTACCACAATGTCCGCCGCTTTAACCGGGTCGGTGAACACGGAAATTCCACCTAGGGGAGTTGGAAAACCCTGATTCCAAACCAATTGTGCACATGGGCTCCAGTATTCTAAGGGAACAAATGGCGCATGAATCAATCGTTGGTTACCGGCTACCATGGGACTGCATCTCCTTAAGATGCTCCACTGCCTTGTGGATCAGACTTTATGTCGAAGGCTCCGGGGTGTGGCCGCCTAAGAAAACCACCTGCTTCATTTTGGGCACCCGGGTAGTATCACAGCCCTCACAAAAATAAATGAGATTTGTGCGGCCCATATATATCTGATTCCCCTTTGTACCAATTTGTATGTGTTTAAATAAATAAATAATTTTAAATTGTGCAAACTGAATGATAACATAGTGAATACTAGAAGAACCTGCTGTTTGTGGATAATTTGTAAGGTATCGTTATCCGTTTGACATTATGCAAAA